GGGACTCGATCCCGGGACTCCAGGATCATGACCTGAGCCGAAGGTAGTCGCTTAACCAACTGAGCCACCCAGGCGCCCGAGAGAATAGTATTTTAGAATAGCTCTAAGGACCTGTAAGATGTTCTTACTCTTTCAAAAGCAGAAATGTTCAGAAGACTTCTAGTGTTGGTGACATAACACAGTTGGCAGTTCCTCCTCTGCAAAAAAAAAAAAAAAAAAGGTATGAAACTGGAAAAAATTGCAAAACAACAATTTTAGGGTACTGGAAATTACCCAAAAGCAGACAACAAATTAAGAAGCATTTGTTTTATTTATTTTTTTATTTTTTTAAAGATTTTATTTATTTATCTGACAGCGAGAGAGGGAATACAAGCAGGGGGAGTGGGAGAGGGAGAAGCAGGCTTCCCGCTGAGCAGGGAGTCCGATGCAGGGCTCGATTCCAGGACCCTGGGATCATGACCTGAGCCGAAGGCAGATACTTAACGACTGAGCCACCCAGGCGCCCCACGAAACATTTATTTTTGAAAAATTACTGGTGTTTCATTTAAGATAGATGGATTCTCTGGCCATTTTGCCTGTAACTGTTACTACTGCCCCTCCCCTCCCCAATCTATGTTGGTGAGAACTGTGGCTTTCCAGTCTAGGCTGGTCATGAAAACCACCAGTTCTGTTGGCAGATGAACAGACTTGATATGAGTGGAGGGCAAAAACCTGTAGCTCTGCCATCTAAGAGTAGTAGACTTGCTTGAGAATGGATAAGGAAAAGTTGTATCTGAACTAGGCCAACATTGTAGTTCTAGTTCAAGGCAATTGGTGGGTTAGTCAGAAATTTAATAGGGACATAATATATGTATGAGAGCCATAGAAGAGTTGTATACACTTTTTACGCATCCCTGTATCATAGGGAAATTACATGTGCGCAGGGAAGATGTAAGAGAGCCCAAACTTCAGAACTGGTTGCAACTTCAAATGCACCCGCACCCCCTCCCAGCAGATCAGTCAGCAGGTCTCATGGGCTCAGGTGTTTGAGCATATTCTTTACCCCAATTACTGGCTTATCACAAAGCTGTATTGACAGTGGGTAGCCCCTAGGAAGCCAGCTAAGAAGAATAAAATGGTTGAATAAAGACTTCAGTAGTTGAATGTCTTGGGAAAGACAGATTGTACAGTTTAAATCTGGACAAGTTACTAAATATAAGCAAAGAACCCTCAGAAAAGTTAAACTTGGTTTTTATTATCTAAATATAGTTTTCTTTTTTTTTTATTAACATATAATGTATTATTTGTTTCAGGGGTACAGGTCTGTGATTCATCAGTCTTACACAATTCACAGCGCTCACCATAGCACATACCCTCCCCAATGTCCATACCCTCCCCAATGTCCATCACCCAGCCACCCCATCCCTCCCAACCCCTTCCACTCCAGCAACCCTCAGTTTGTTTCCTGAAATTAAGAGTCACTTATGGTTTGTCTCCCTCTCTGGTTTTGTCTTGTTTCATTTTTCCCTTCCTTCTCCTATGATCCTCTGCCTTATTTCTCAAATTCCTCATATCATTGAGATCATATGATACTTGTCTTTCTCTGATTGACTTGTTTCACTTAGCATAATACCCTTTAGTTCCATCCACCTCATTGCAAATGGTAAGATTTCATTTTTTTGATGGCTGCATAATATTCCATTGTATATATATACACCACATCTTCTTTATCTATTCATCTGTCGATGGACATCTAGGCTTTTTCCATTATTTGGCTATTGTGGACACTGCTGCTATAAACATTGGGGTGCATGTGCCCCTTTGGATTACTACATTTGTATCTTTGGGATAAATACCCAGTAGTGCAATTGCTGGGTTGTAGGATAGCTCTATTTTCAACTTTTTGAGGAACCTCCATACTGTTTTCCAGAG